CTTCGTTATTTGTCTCTTTTGACTTTGATAGTTTCCATCCAAGTGCCATAGGAGTGTCGTTTGGTTTGCAATTTAACATGTCGAACTTGTGTAAGAGTTCTTGTATATAACCGCTCTGAGAAAGTTGAATGTGATTCGCTTTCTGCTGGATTTCAATCCCCAGGCAGTACTTTGCAAGTCCCAGATCTTTGATCTTGAATTCTTGAGATAAAGCTGTTTTTATATCATTTACTCTTTTCGAGTTATTCGACGCGATGATGATGTCATCAACGTAAATCATAAGGAAGGTATGCTTTCCGCCTACATCATCAACAAATACGCAGGGATCGGACTTAGTAGGAGTAAATTGAAGTTGTAGTAGAAACTCTTTCAGCCTCTTGTACCACTGGCGTCCTGCCTGCTTTAAACCGTAAATTGCCCGGTTTAATTTACAAACAATATCCTTGCCCTTTTTGATTCGCAGTAACATCTCGTTAGCTTTCGCAGCAAGTTTAGATCCATGTTCTTCGACTGTCATTCGTTGCAACATTTCTTTAAGAAAAACTGGTTTTTCCATGAATATTTCTGTGTCGATTTCGCCATTCAGGTAAGCTGTAGTAACATCCAGCTGATGCATCTTCAAATGAAGTTTAGCGGATAGAGCGGCTAATAGTCTAAACGATTCCATTCTAGCCACGGGAGCGAATGTGTCGTGAAAATCCACTCCAGGACGTTGAGAGAATCCTTTTGCGACTAATCTAGCCTTCCTGCGTTCGATTATGCCGTTTGCATCCAGCTTGTTGCGTAACACCATTCTGGAACCAATTATTTTTGCATTTTCTGGCTTGTTAATTATTTTCCAGGTATCATGTTCGATAAGGGATTTTATTTCGTGGTAAATGGCGTCGAACCACTCGTTGCGATTTTCGCTAGAAAGTGCCCATGTTAATGATATCTCGTTAGAGCACATACCTGAGTATTCGTTGAATTCTTCTACATCGCCATCACTACAATCGATACTGTCATCTATGGTATCTTCTATGATCCTTTCCTCATCAGAAGATGTTCGGTCAATTTCAACCATGTTGTATTCCTTCTTCGGACGGCCAGGCTGTCCTGAACGAATGATTCTTGGTCTCCCAGGACCTCTTCTAGTTTGATGAACAGTGTCGAATTTTTCTTCATCGTTTTCTTCCGTTTCACCAATTTCTTCCATAGGTTTAATATCGTCCATAGGTTTGATACCGTCGGAATTAGGTGTAATTGTCACTATGTTTTCTTCATATGTTTCTGGAACCTCTTCCAAAAATTGAACGTCTCTGCTGATATGGACTTTACGATCTTCTGGAATCCAAACACGATATGCTTTTGATTCGGAAGAATATCCTACAAAAATTCCCTGTTTCGCTCTGGGCTGAAATTTATCTTTGTTTGGAGAAGTGTCGACAATAAAAGCTTTGCATCCAAATGATCGAAGATGTCCAACATTTGGTTTTTTACCATTATATTTTTCAAAAGGTGTACCTTCAGCTAAACTCTTTGTTATGCTTCTATTTCGAACATAGTTCGCCGTGTTAATGGCTTCTGCCCAAAATGAGTTACTTAGACCGGCTTGCATCAACATGCACCTGGCAGAATTAACTAGAGTTCGGTTGCGGCGTTCCGCGACTCCGTTTTGTTGCGGTGTATGTGGAGTTGTAAGCCTTCGTTGAATACCTTTCTTTGAAAAATACGAATTTAATTTCTGGTTGCAGAATTCAGTTCCGTTATCGGATTGTACGAATTTCACTTTCATGCCCGTTTGCCTTTCCGCCTTATCGATGAATTCTATGAGTCTAGTTGAGGTTTGATCCTTGCTTTTTAGGAAGTACACTTCGCCGTAACGACTATAATCATCGACAATCGATAAAAAATATCTTGCGCCACCGTTTGATGTGGTCCGCATAGACCCGCACAGATCAGTGTGAATGATATTAAGGCATTCTGTTGATCTGTTAGCAGTTTTTGGAAATGGCAAACGTGGTAACTTTGCAGCTATACAAATTTCGCAACTATGAGGAACGTTGGAATCGCTAAAATTCATTTCGATAACGCTTTCCTTTTTAAAATAACTTCGTGATCTTTGTCAACAATTTTCGTTACAGATAACAAGTTAGTTCTTAAATCAGGAATAAATAATGTATTTTCGAGATTTATGTTTTTGTAACTACCGTTGGATTTGATTTTCAGATTGACACGACCTTTCGCAAGAACATCTGCGGTTGCTGAACTAGCTAGTCGTATTTTGCTGTCAATGCTTTCAAGGTTTTGAAATGAATCTTTGTTGTTACAGAGATGTGATGTGCAACCACTATCCAAACACCAAAGTTCGTTCTTATCGCAATTTACTGGACTGTTTGTAAAGAAACTTTCTCCTACGTAATTTTCATTTTGTTTATCTTTACCTGGATTGCTGACATTTTTCTTTTTCCAACATTCGGATTCCTTGTGACCTCTCTTCTTGCAGTAACCACAATTGTAGTTCGGCTTTTTATTATTGTATTTACCTGACAGTGGTTTTTCTGTACGAGTGCTCGCAAATTTTTGTTGATGTTTTGCGTACATTGCACTTGACTCAGTATTCTCCGTTCTTCTTGTTCTGGCATCGCTTTCTTCAATTATTTTAATTTTCAACGATTCAGCGTCTGGCAGTATGTCACGCGTCTCGATGACACATCTAAAATTATCAAAATTATCCGGCAAACTATATAATAGAATAATTGTGAGAAGATCGCCATTTATTTCTACATTCATAGCGTTAAGTTTATCAACCGTATCAAAGAAACGCGATAAATGTTCCCTCACATCATTTCCATCGGATAGTTTTTGAGTAATTAATTGCTTAAGTAAATTTGCTTTTCGAGCTGGTCCTTTTGATGCGTAAATACTTTGTAATTTCATCCATACATCGTTCGAAGTTTCGCATCCACGTATTTGCTTCAGCTCGGATGGTGAAATTGACAGTATGAGCTCTGACTTCGCTTTACGATCTTGTATAATCCATGCGTTTTGTAACTGCTGTTGATTAACGGTGTTTTGCGTATCTGGTTCAACTTCTGGCTTCACACGGATACCGGACACATATTCCCACAAATCTGCTTTTACAAGTAACGCTTCGACTTGAATATTCCATGTATCATAATTACTTCTGTTGAGTAATTCGATTCGGGTAGCATTAAGGATGTTAGCGCCAGCCATTTATTGATATTTCTAATCGAATAACCACGAGACTAGGAGACTAAAACAGATCGACAGTTCGAGAGTAAGTACGTCACCTTACGTTTTTGACAGTTATTCTATTTTTAATGATCTTCAATCTCGTAAGACTTCCAACAACTAATTTATCGTTCGTCTGGGCCCATAACCTATTAGAGTTAGTGGAGTTATAAATAAAGTACTGGAAGTCTCAGCAGAACAAATATTAAGATGAAATATATCGTAGCAAATATAACACGTCAATTATAATTAAATATATTGACAACACTTATTTATAAACACATCACCTTAGAAACATTTAATAAAATTTGAAACTCTAACAATCTAAGGTATTTAATCGGTTTTCTATTACATGCAATTTATGCAATATTAAGTTCAATTTTCTGTTTATATCTGTAGCACCACCTAAATCAATAATTTAAATCTTAATCAATTAATGATTTTCCTTACCAGGTTCAAAATCACCTCTAGATACAGGTGTAGATACACCAGTGGATACATCAGACCCATCAGCCTTCTCTGGACCATTATCTTCTGTTTCTCTTAATCTCGAGAGCGATGAGGGTGGAAATCTGCAAAGAAGTTGGTATGTTAGCGCAGCAAAAGATTCCGTTGGCGATCAACTTCCGCTGATTACATTCCTGATATTGTAGGCCAAAAACACATATGGAATGTAGGTTAGCTATACTCGGAGAGGGCACAAAATAAACAGCCAAATTGTTCGCCAAAAGCTTTAAAGTTTAGGACCTTCTTTGCATGTCCTGAAAAATATTACGAACACAAAGGTATTTATTTTTAAGACATGGTACCAAATACTTTTGGACGCCATTTATTAATGTAAGTCAACGAATTCATTGGGAGGGGAAATTAACCACCTTATGCTATTGCGGTATTAGTCATTTATGCCTCTATTAGTAGGTACCCTAGTAACATGGATTGTTGGGCCAACGTTGGTAAATTGTTGCATTGTTGGTTGATTGTGGGTAGTTTTGCCAACGGTTGACCAATGTTGGCCCAGCCATGACTTTGATTTGTTGGGCTAACAAATGTTATAATGGTTGGCCCATTATTGTTTTTTTGTATATTAAACTGAAAAAAATTAAATAATTTACGATCCGCATTCGTTTCAAATCCAATTCGCTCGCATTGGTAAACAATAATAATTTACATTACTTTTTGTATTAATTCCATCGCAAATAAAGCTAATAAAGATCTTCTGCTCGTTAGTTCGTATTTCTTCCGTGGAATATTACACTATAATGTTGGTATCGACGAAATTCGGTTGGTATGAATCACATGACGTACCTATTGTATTATTGCAAAAGGCCGTTCCTATTTGTAACATTTATCTTAAGCCCAGAACAAAAAACTTAGAAGGGAAACGTAAACGGGAACAACTGAGTACAAATGGAATTAGTTTGGAGAACATTCAATAGATGGCGCATAGTTAGCGTGCGTGTTAAAGTTACTAAATCTAGTGACTTTAGTACGTGTCGCCATTATGACAGTTGAATTTTGAATTTTGATTGACGGCTTATTGTGCTTTAAGTATAATTACTATTCATTATTTACAATGAATTATGCATATACAAATCGAAAACGTAAATGTTGTGTGACAAATTGTGAAGACGTTTCCCAAAAATGGAGCCCGATGTTTTTATAGAATTGGTTTAGAATATAATGTGGAAGAAATTTAAACAAAAGTTTTTGGTTTGTGAACGTCAGTTTTCTGGTTGCGCTTTAGAACCTGGAACACGAAGAGGTTTAAAGCGTGTGGCAGTTCGCACATTATTATCTTTAGCAGGTAACACTAATTGAATTGTAATAAATTGCTACATATTTTGTTTTTAGAACAATCTTGAGAGTATCATAAAGCAGAGTTCCATGAAGTTGATCTTGTATCTTGTATATCCATATTAAATTAAATATAACTCCTTGGTTGGATTAATTGGAGTTGTTACTTATAAAACAAGTGGTCTGTACCCTTTGAAGCCCCTGACTGCTGTGCATCGGCATTAAACTGAATTTATCTGGATCCCTATCAAACAAAATTGGACTTCACTGGCTGGATTCATTACCTTTTAGGTTTCAGCTAGTCAAATCCAATGTTATTGTTACAGATCCGGAGAAATGCAGTATAATGCGGACGTAGCTTACATTTTAATATTTAAATTTGGCGCCATTCACGCAAAAGCTGCTGAGAACATACACGAGATGGCGCGTCATTTTTACATTACATTAGAGTTTCCATTCTAAGTTTGTTGTTCTATGATCTTAAGCGGTCGTTTAACCTATAAATAACCATTTCCATTTTCCCGCGACACGTAGTGATACAGCTCAACAAAGTGTCTTATAATTTTGGTGGTTAAAAGCACAATTCCGAGGTAAGTTATGTTTGTACCTAACCTAATAATCCTATTGTTTAGGGTGATTATTTTGATAAAATGTTCACACAATGTAGTTATATACAAGTTTTACACAAGCGCTTTTCGGACCTTTTGACTTACAAATTAACAGCAGCCTAAACTGTTTGAAAACTTAAATGGAATAGAACATACATGTCCTTATTTGATTTAGATGCGATTTCATGTGGTGGAGTTCACACAATCCTCGGGAGGAGGTTTAGGGATCGTGCAGGAAGACTGGTTAACTCCCAGGAAAAAAGGGACTTTCTGGCCTCCTTATAAACAGCCTATACAATACAATAAAGCGCTAACAGGTACCACACCTCCTGGTGATGATTGGAAAATTTACCAGATTAAAATAGTATATTAAGATACAAGTGTATAATCAAGTCTTTAAAGCACGCGCAACGAGTTTAAGGGCACGACGCAAAGCGGAGTGCCTTTAACGTTGCAAGTGCTTTAAAGATCAATTATACAGGTGTATCTTATAGTATTTTTTATTATACCTGCAGTATAATTTAAAAATAGGAAATACAATGAAGTCATATTGACGTTATACTCGAATACATGTCTAATTAAGTGGGCTGGGTGTTCGTAATTTCACGATTGCCATGGAAATGTCACTTGACGTTTGCTTATAAAAATCATGTCTTTGTGAATTAAACGATTTCCGTTGAAAAAGATAATACACCGTCCATTAAATCGATTGTTGTAAAATCTAAACAAACGTTGGTAGGTGTAAAATCCAACTCCAGTAACGCCTATTATAAAGAATATGAAAAGTTGTTTCCATGGATGAATAGGAAGTTACTTACGAATACAGTCTTAAATGCATCCATAATGCTGGCATATATGAAGGAAATGTCAAAGGTATTTAAATCTTCTATATTTTGGTGCATTTATTAAAAACTTTAAAGAAATGCTGTGATTAAAAAGTGGAACAGATTTGGAAGCATACCCTAAATTACGCGCGTTTGTGAAAGCTTCAACCAAAGGATAGGTACAAAAGCCAAAAAAATGTTCTGCATTTACAGAAAGCGACCTAAGAGGATTTTTTATTTCATCCAGATGACAGTTTCAAAAGTCATACTTGAAGTATCGTTACGTAGCAACTTTAAAGCACGTGTGTTTTAAAGGCCCTTTTTCGCACGCATTTGAGTGTTTAAAACGGAGATTGTGATTCAGGTATAATAAAAAAACGTATTATTCTACTGGTTAGTAGGTCATTCACTTTTTGATATACCTATTGAATTGAGACATGACAATTTTATATAATAGTACCAAAGCACAACTTACTTACATACAGCTGCACAACTCTGTTGGCGAAAACGGATTGCGGCAATCTATGCGCGTAGCGCTTATGCTCCGCCACTTGGGGTAAAAGACAGCAGTCACGTAATAATCTTCAATGAGGCAATAACATTGAGCATACCCCGACTTCTACCGCAACCTAGAGAAACCTTGCACCATTCCGTCTCGCCTTGTTGTCGACCGCCACATCAAAGGTGACGCTCATAGTTGTAGAGCTGGGTATAAGTAAGCTGTGGTAGTAGTAGTGCGTAGTTATTTATAATAATAGATCTTTTTGAATTGCTTATAGATGATCTTCTAAAGGCAAGGCAAAAGTTAAAAGATGCTGAAATAGAATCCGAAGTTGGAACTGCAACAGAATCAGAACCAGGAACCAATAAAAGAAAAAGAAAGAGGAATCCCGTTAAGAAATTAATCCATTCTAGTAGTAGTGAAAATGAGAATGTTGAAGATGATGATGTAACTTCAATTCGTAATTTACCACCACTACCTCCGGATGACACGGATACACAAAAAGAAATTAATGAGTGCAGTAAGTAAATTGTATTTATAATTTTAAAATGTTGTTTGTGTCTAATTGTTCACAGCTGAGATATTAACTGAAGAGAATCAAACTGATGATAATTTATCAGAAAGGAGTGACATTCCTTCTACCCAATTGCTTCAGGGTTTTGATACTCCCAACACCTCGAGGTCTGTTCGATTAAGGTATGTTAGCCAAATAACGCCATGTTCCTAATAACGCCAGACGTCCTTTTTTGGAAAACCACGTAAGCAATACAAAAGATTGCCAGTGTGGCATTGTAGGTTCATACCCAAGAAGACAGTCAGCCATTAAAATCTTCTTTATAGATGAAACAAGTGTCACCACATGAGATGCATGATTTTGGCGGCAATAACCACCATTCGTCATTGCATCTTTGATGCAAGATATTTGATGTTCAAACCCTCTGATAATTAGATTTGTTCATACCCGCGTGGTGTTTGGTAAGTTTATGTTATATCTAGTTAATAGTTCCAATTAAAACAAAAACATTTTTGTAAAATCAGTAATGCAGATTTTAGGTTAAGTGCGCCTAATAACGCCAACAATCTTCTACTGGCGTGATTAGGAGCCAATCTGCAATTAAAGAGTGTTCTTCAATCAAATTTTTTTAGTTTAAAAACTCAAACAATACTTGTGCACAATTAATTCTGTTCTAATATGTTGGCAAGTACTACTATAATTACCAAGATACAGAATATTTTGGAAAATATTTACAAAGCTGTGGTAGATCGAACCTTAGTATGGCGTTATTTGGGTCACATACCTTATTACATAACACTCCCACCACTCGTAGCCTACCGATAGAACTAGCCATGACACTGATCCCCACTATTGCGTTGACGTCACAACTGACGGCGGCCGTCACATCGACTTTTAATGTAATTAATTCCAAGTAAGGTTTATGTTAACTTATTTTTGAATGTTGTATACTTAAATTAACTGTATTCGAACAGAATAAGTAAGAAAAAGCCAAATACGTGCTGCGTCCCTGGTTGCAAAAGCAATTATAGTTCAAGAGACAAGGTTACGGTTTTTCGTTTTCCAAAAAATGAAGACAATAAAAAAAATGGTTAAGATGATTCACTAGTATTCACAATTTCGAAATTACTATTTACCTACTCCAGGGGTTGGTTAAAGCATTTCTCCGACATTTTCATTATTCGGGTAGACAAGATGACTAGACAAGACGGTACAGGATTAACAGTTCCACGAGACCAGATTAAACTTGCCGAAGACGCGTATCCCACCATTTTTGAAAATCAGCCATCACATATGAAAAGGATGTAAATGATGAGTAAAGGGAAAATATAGACCTTAGCAACTACAAATTACCGAAAATCCGTAGTCTCTAGGTGGTCCAGGGGCCGAGATCTCGATGGAACAGACAGATAGGCAGACGACGGAAAATCGAGCACATGAGCGTTACCTCAACTTCGTTGTGTAAGGCAAAAAATGGCAGATGTGTGTATTAGAATGTTTAAATTTTATTTGTTTTCAGTGAGTATTTGTTGTTTATGTACGTATTTAATAAAAGTGTTTGCATAATTACACGTGTCTATAATTAGGAAAAAACATATAACAATCCTGCGGCTCAAAACAAGTAATTACTAAATGTTTTGGCATTAAATGAGTACGCGCGCAAATCAAATTGCATTTAAACACATAGGGTACGTTCCACTTAAAGACTGCGACGATTGCAACGTCCCAAATTTCGTTCCACTTGACGCCACAAATGTTGTGGTCGATGTCGAAAACGTCATAGTTGACGTCATTAATAGTCGACCGCAAAGCCCGCTTCGCGCGTAAAACAGAGGTGGGTCAGAGTGGTCGTTTGGTTTTTGTTAGGTTATGTTAAATGTTTTGCCTTAGTTTCCTTTCACCAAAATGACTACCCTAAGTTTATATCATGACGGCCAGTTGGTAGAATTAATTGTATCTGCGGAGGATGCGGAGCGTGCACAAAATGGTAAGTTTCTAAAAATTGAGCAAATTGTTTATATATATTTTCAGATATGCAGTTTGCTGCAAAGCTGTTAAACGCAGGATTATCGGAAACCGCTGCGGAAGAAGAATCGATTGTATCCCCTGAAGAAGAATCCATTGTATCCCCTGAAGACGTAGATCGGGGTGACGGAGGTATGTTGCGGAACCATGTTAACAATTACCATCACTAACGTAGCAAGTCTCCTATAGGCATAACTTCTAGTAGGGTAATCGACCTAGTAATGGACACAGACCTAGTAATGGACACTTTTCCCCTTAAAAATTTGAAAATAGGCATTGTGTGGTACTAACGCTGTAGATGGGTAGGTCAAATAATCAGTCGCATGCAGGTTCAACAGCTGCGGCTAAGTTCACTCTTATTGATCTTTTAAACGAACTATTGTGGCGGCGTGGGTTATGTGATGAGGTTTTTTGACATACTAAATTAAAGTGTCGTTAGCGTCTACTGTGCGTTTATTGAAACGTTGTAGTTATTTTTCCCACGCCAGGTAGGTTACTAATATTAGCAGTATTGATTTCTTAATTAATTTATGGTCATATAATTGATGGTACATGTCATTCCGCTTTTAGAAGGGGGTGACCATTACTAATACACTGTTTTACTTCGAGGGCTAGTGGTGGTCATAGGGTGTGACCATTTTTGAGACATAATGTTTCAGTAATGGGCACAATTTAGTTTACCCTTCTGTAAAAGATAGACTGCTTGGAACGTACTTTCCTAAATTTTAATGGATCTTAAAAGGTTTCTTACATGAATTAAATTTTTATAGAATGGGGAAAACAAAGAAAAAAGAAAAAAGAACTTTTTTTTCATACTCAGAAGAGAACATGATTATGGCAATTGAGGCAGTGACAAAGAATGGAATTAACAAAAAGGCTGCAGCTCGTGAGTTTAAGGTTCCTCGCAGCACTTTGGTACGAAGGTTAGCGTTAGCAACTCCTTACAGCAGAAAAATGGGCCCAGCTACAGAAATTCCCGAAGCAGAAGAGAAAATTATCGAAAACTGGGTGTTGGCAATGGCCAGGAAAGGATTTCCAGTTCACCGACAAAATCTCATCTTATCAGTGAAAAAAATGGTCGAGGATATGGGAAAGGAAACCAAATATTTTCTAAATGGAACACCTGGAAGATCATGGTTTAGGGGTTTTTTGAAACGTCACCCTAAGATAAAGGAAAAATATGCTGAAGCTGTAAGCAAGGCTCGTGCTGCTGTCACTCAGGACCGAATTGAAGGATGGTTTGAGGAAATATTGACCTTCTTACAAACCGAAAATTATATGAATATACTGGACGATCCCAGCCGTATATTTAAAATTCATAATTTTTGCACCAGTAGGTACTTAACTCTTTCTGTATAGGAATAGTTCTGAAACATGATCCGGAGGGCGCAGAAGTTCGAACTATGGTCAGTGCTGGAGTTCAATCCTGGAAATGGCCTACAAAAGAGGATGTTTTATACTATTTTATGGATAGTATTATATGCAACATTCATAATCCTAAATTGAAAAACAATAGAGGCCACTATAGTGTGCCCGAAATGAATAAATATGAATAAAATATATTTTTGAAACATGTGTCCATTACTAGTCCATTGCATGTCCATTACTGCTCACTGTATGCCCATTACTAGTGTATTACGGAAATTTGTCAAATAATTTTTATAAAATATGTGTGTCCCATTGTCAGTAATTGGGGCCATGTTTATTGAAATCTTCATAAAAAGACCGTTCCATAGGTCCATCTATGATATGGTTAACATCAATAAAGCGGTACTTATGAGCGTTCAAAGTTGTAATTTCCTTATGGGTGTCCATTACTGAGCCTGATACCCTATTCATAACAACCAACATTTCTAGACATTAATTTCTTCGATTTTTCAGGTTCATTATATAGATGGACAACGCCATCAATTTTACTGTTATTGGAGACATATCGGTCATATGAATCCCAATTTACCGATGGCAGGCAACCGCAAAAAAAAGTATGGGACAAGGTTGCAGAGATTTTAAATAATAATGTAACTGGAATGCAGTGTGCCGCAAAACTGAGAAGTTTAAAAAAAACGTATAAATCCATAAAAGATCACAATGCGAAATCTGGCAACGACAAGAGAACTTGGAAATTTTTTGACGTACGTATACCTATAGGTAATTTTTCTTTAAACTCAACTTTTTTGCAGCTTATGGATGAAATATTTTCGAAGCGTGCATGGTGCAATCCGGTTGCGGTTGCGTCCTCCTCAGATACAGATGTCAAACCACAGGATAATACCAGTGGTGAGTTCAAAAGTACCAATGATCACCTTATTTACAATTACAACATAATTTATCTACTTAACTGTTCTTACGTACACGTCTTTCAAATTGTTGTTTAACTATATACCTAATATGTATATTATATCTTATAGCCCCATCAACATCGAAACCAAGTACCAATGTGCTTATGGCCAAAAGATTAAGACAAAAGGACGAGCATGAGGAAGCAAGAGCAAAGCGACATAAGGAGAGGTTAGAAATGGATCACAAGTTTTTAGCAGTTTTGGAAAAGCTAGCAAATAAATAATAAATTCTATTTTATATTATTGATGAAGTCACAGTTTTGTTTATTATTTATAAAATTTATTTAAGTTTGTAAGTATGTATAAAAAGAGTTTTTGTATTTGATTTGAATATTTGAATAATATTATCGTAAAGCATTCATTATTATGTTCCTTTTTGCCACTACAGCATTATTTCTTCCAAATTGATCAATATTTCGGGCATTTCCTTGGGGATCCCCTGGTATGACAACCATTCTTATATCATCTCCACGTAGCAGGCAAATGTTATGAATCACGCAGCACGCTATTATATACTGCGGCATTTGATCCACACGCACCATAGGTAAGCAATGCAGTAAACTTCTCATTCTAGCCTTCAGTAATCCTATACATCTTTCAATTGTAACTCTAGCTGTTGAAAGGTGTCTATTATATTTGTTTTGCAGTTCTGTCCAGATGACCGTTGTCCCGAAAGGGCACAAGGAGATGTTCATGCAACTCGTAGGCTGCATCACCTAACAGGTGGCTATCCATAGGAAATTTTTCTGCATCTTCTACAAAGTTTGCCACATCAGAAAGCCTAAACACCCTCTGGTCATGGACGGAGCCCGGGTGTCCAGTGTAACAGTGCGTTATTAACATGTTAGAATCACAGACCAACTGTAAAAACCACTTAATATTAATAAACATTATTTTCTGGCAATTGTTGCCTACCTGTAATTGTATCGAATGAAAATGTTTACGATTGACATAGTCTGGGGCATTTTCTTGTGGAGCATCGATGCGAATGTGGGTGCCATCGATGGCCCCAATAACTCTTGGGAACCCTGATGATGCCTCAAACTGTTGCATCACTGTGATGGCACGATCTCCCACTGGCCACTGAATCCATCTCGCTGCTCTTTTATGCAGGGAATACGTAACCCTACGTACAGCTCGTAGACCAGTGGCTTTTCCTACATTGAAGCGATCACATACAGACCTGAGACAAATTGATTCATTATACATTAAATATTTTGCTACTGTAAGCTTCTTATCACCTATATGAATCGCTAGTTGCCATTTTCCATAAGGCAATCATCAGCTGCTTTTCAGCCGGAATTGTCGGACAACCATTAACCTTTCTAATTAAATCGCCTCTTATAATATTTACTAGGTATTCAAACGTTGATTTTGACATTCTAGAAATACAATACTCCTATAAATAGCTTTTAATTTATTATTTAATCAAACAGAATGCTTGGCAAATTGCTCACCTAAAATGACTTTTAAATTCGTTGTCTGCATAACGGCCAACGACATCTGCATAATCCGTAATTCGCGGGCGAAGTTTCCGCTTCTTTCTTTGTTGAAAAAATTCTTCATCATCCAGACTTGAACTGGAACTTGATGATATCCGTCGCCGACGAATAATTATGCCAACAACAGCGGCCATCTTGAAACCTAAAACCTCCAAAACCTGTTCCACTTGAAAACTTCGACCACAACGCTTTTTGATTGTGGAACGCATAAAAGAGCGGTCGCGGACGAAATCAGTGCGGGCGCTAAGTGGAACGTACCCATAGTATCACGTTGTAGTGGCCCATCTCCAGTTGTGACGTCACTAAACCAATGTCACGGCTAGATCTATCGGTAGGCTACGCACCACTACACCGCACCAATCTAATGGTAAGATATGTGATTGTTTGTGATGACATAACATAACATGCATATTCAGGTCTTATGTCTATTTTATAAACAAAATTTCAGGGTTGGAAGCCATTGCAAGACATCTTGCACGAATTGATAAAAGGCTAGACTACTTAGAGCAGTGTCTTAAAAATATTTCTGAAAAATTGTGCCCTAACGAGCCCACATCTTTTGCCAATTTACCGGATGATGTAAAGCTCCCATGTAATTCAATTGACGAAGTTAATTATCTTGAGAATTGGTTGTTAGTGGAAGATAATGTTAAAATTTTGGTAAGTTGTTCTTCATTATATCAACAAAATCGTAGATTGTATGTATCACAGGTAACGAATTTAACTTGTATTGGAGGGAAAAAGGTCGCACATATTGTAAGGAAGATATTAGAAAGGTTATTTACTAATGAAGTTGCTGTTTTGTATAATTGGACTGGAAAGAACAAAAAACAAGCACTAAAAGTTTTGAATGTTATCAAGTTAATACCAGGTCAGTATTGCTGTGCCAAATTAATTGTAGAGCTAATACTATTTACTTGATTTAGGAATAGTTCGCAAAAATCGAAGCACTGTAAATGCGACTGATGATGAGATCAATACTGTGATCACAAATTGGTTTAGATTTACAAAGGATAGAAATGGTGGAAGGGATGCAAGGAGGTCAGTCGTTACCAACAAAGAAAAAGAATAGAGCTAATTACAGTGGGTCATCATCATCACGATGAATACATTTTCGAGATCTTGCTAAAGCAACAAACGTAATAAAACAAGAATTGGCAAATGAAAAAGTAGGTCAAAATGTATGTGTGCAATCCAGTATCACTAATGGTGTACATGTTTCAAATCATGTATCAAATTTAGATAGTACAACTAGGCTTAGTGTAACTGAAAATGAAACTCATTTAGATATTAATTATTTGGAGTCGAGTAGCAATAGTGGCTCTGTTGTATCTGTCAATTTGGATGCTAAAGACGATGTTCAAGATAACGACTTTATAGAAAAAATAATTAAATGGTCTAAAAATCATAACGTCACCCATACTGCTCTTACGGACTTATTACATATACTAAAACCTCATCATGCTTTCTTACCTATGGATTCTAGAACTTTATTACATACTCCAAAAATTGTTGATATTACTAGTTGTGATGACGGTTCATTTGTTTATTTTGGACTACAAAATAATTTAGAGAAAAAATCACAATCTGGGTTAATCTTCTCAAATAATTATCCTCTAATAGAACAAAAAATGAAAATGAAAAATGTTTCTCCCAATCACTTTTTGTCTATCTCTGTAAATGTTGATGGCTTACCTTTGCATTCAAGTACAACAAAGTCGTTTTTGGCCATTACTTTGTATTTTAGACCAAGCAATTGATAAAAAGCCAATAGTTGTATCCCTTTATTATGGAGAAACAAAACCCGCAAGTGCTAACAATTTTTTGGCCCCATTTATTGAAGAATGCAGTCGTTTAGAAGCAAATGGAGTTACAATAAATGGTATACATTATAATTTTCAAGTAAGTTGTATTATAGCTGACGCCCCAGCTAGATCTTTTATAAAATGCATCTCTGGGCATAATTCACTTCATGGGTGTGAAAAATGTACGCAAGGTGTATACATTGGTAGAACCACTTGGCAGTATTTAAAAAATTATACTCTTAGGACCGATTCTTCTTTTAAAAATGTCGAGGGGCAAACCACTAAGCAACATTTGTGACAGTATTGCGCAAAACTGGGATTTCTCATGATTTTTTTGCGATTTCGCATGATTGCGCCAGATTTCGCAAGATTGCGCCGGATTTCGCACGATTGCGCCGGATTTCGGACGATTGCGCCGGATTTCGCACGATTGCGCAAGATTTCGCTGGATTGCACAGTAATTCGTAGGATTGCGCGGGGTGATAGTGTGGTGTTATTTTTCGCCCAATTATGTGCGATGCTGAAGCCTTATCAGATTTTTTAAGAAATACGGGCAGTTTTTTAAGGGTTTTGTAGAAGACAATAAACGAATACCTATGTCTTACACAAATTTTAATAAAAAAAATATTAAGAAACATGTCTAAAAAACAAAACATTTTACAAAAACTCTTTTAGCTCTTTCTTAATGGTCTTAAAAATTTGCTCAATTTTTATTTTCTCATTTCGTCTTAAATGAAAAGGTCCATTACCCATTAATGACACTGGACCATAAAAAATGAACTTATTGTTAACAATTTGTTTATCGTCCTCTCTTGGCCAAACATACTTATCTAGTTCTAATTTTAAAAACTTTATCTCACTTTTTGCATTATCTACCACTTTTATGATCCTTCCAATAATACCAGCTTTCGTAGCATACTGCATAATAAGCTTCCTGTTATATACTTATATTTCGACTTATATTACTTACTTCCGAGCTTATTTCAGAATCATCGTCTTCCGAAAAGGTTTCATTCTCAAACTCGCTATGAACAGACAACGAATCACTTACTGAAGTCTCAGAATCTGAGATATTCTCACTTTTCTTCTTCTGCTGAGTCTTCTGTGTTTTCAAATTTTCTGTGTTTTTGGCCCGGTTGTTGACACATTTTTTGCCTATTTTTTCATTAATACCTGATGTTCTTTTTTTTGAGGAACTCGTTGGTCCACTCGTAGCTTTGCATCGAATTAACCTATCGCTCGACAAGCGTCCTTTTCTTTTGAAAAACAGCCAACATAAAGTTGATTTTTTAACTACCATTTCTTTATCATTAATTTTAATTTTGATTAAAGAGATGTCTGATATGTCTGTTTTGCATCCGCTTAGGTCTTTTATATCTAAGGATGTAAAATTTTGCAAAATCTCTTCATCTTTGTTAATATCTTGTATATCTTCTTCATTTGCGGTTAATTGGGTTTCTGATAATTGTTCTGCTTCATCTTGAAGTGCCGTCGAGGCAACATTGGATTGAAGCAAAAAATTGCTGTCTGTATGGTCAGAATCATCTTGCTTTGGAATAGAGACTTCCGTTAAAGCTGCCTCCCACTGATTTTCTAACATATCTATTCCTAGTATTTTACAATCATTGACTGCATCATCTCTGGCTTTTATTATAACATTTCGTAATTCTTCGGTTGGCGGAATAAATGTTTCTTTGTTTCTTAAATTAGCACCTAGCTTCTTGTTTCTCTCTCTGGGGAACACGAATTTGTCTCCTAAAAAACACATTTAGTTGTTACCACAAATACTGTTTTAGGCCTAAATTTCTTCAGTATAATTTGCGACGAACTTCCCCCTTAGCTCGTGCACGCACGGTATTCTAAATAAGGGAAAGCACAATTATTTCAAGTTCATTTAATTGTCGAACAATAATATAATTGTACAATTCAATTATTACACCGGGGACGGTCGGTCGGTCACTCGGGCGCCACCAAGACTTAATCTGCACCCCCTAAGTCTTGGGAAAAGGGGCGGTGCGGTCTTCGCGGACGGGGTGGAAAGCCTCCGGGTATCCTCTAGTGGAGAACGGAAAAACCAGGGATCGGTCAGGGTTCACCACAAAATGGCGGCGGTCACTTCCGGATAATCTAAAACAAAATATGGCCAACGGCCCGGACGGTAAATTTCCTAAAGGGAATAAAGCAATAAAGCACAAATCAATTAGCGGTGTCTAGGGGAACGAAAAGCGGAAAAACAAGGAGAACAGAATATACTCCCCCCCCTTTAATCAACGTAATTGAAAATTAAGCGCTTACCTTGGTTAAGTAACGGTGATTTAAACGGTGGTAACACTATCGATAGAAAATACGGTAAGCTTAAGGCGGTAATGAAACTTAGCCGAACGGGGTAAAAGTTACGGTAGTGCAAAAAGGTAAACTCAAAACGGTAGTTAAACGGAAAGGATAACGGATTGACTTACGGTCGCTCAAACGGTAAAACGGTAAAACAAAAGGGTTTCGGTGGATTCGGAATGATACGGTTTCGCAAATTAAAGAAATCAAAAGGCGTACTTACAACTCGAAAGTATGAAGCAGAAAAGATCCCTCCCAAAATGAGCATTTTCCTTTTAAAGGAAACCAATTTTGGTGGAAGTGGAACAGGGAATTTCCAAAGCCGGGCGGTGCTCGTACCGAGAGCGGTAGAAAATAATTCGGTTTTTAATTAATTGCGGCTCCTGTGGTTATCTTAAAAATCTGGGACAACTTGCAAACAAATAGAAAAATTACAGCGCCTCTGTGGACACCTCTCTCGACGGTTTCTGACACGGTTTACTACTGCCCATTAACATGGCATTAATTAACAGCGCTTACCTAATTAAGCGTAATCAAACCTAAGTACTCATCAATCCAATCTGCAACTAGCTCCCTTGGACTTTTCTTCTCAAACGGCGCTATCGCTTTAACACTCTTATCGCAGCATGCAGGCATACGGACGGGACTGCAAAACTTGTAAACAACTCGATTTGAACTCGTTTTATCCTTGATTTTACTTATTATGGGAATCTAAAACATCTTATAAATAATTAACGGCGCTGAAACCAAAGAATATTAATTGTCCCTCATCTTCGCCAGGACAACATCCTTCGGTGGTTACAAAAATAACGCGGTCTTCTTGCGTAACGAAGCCCAAACCAAACGTTACATACAGGGTGGTCTTTGTAAACTGCAAACTAAATGGAGAAATTCCGGGTGCTTCGTTACACACCCCCCTTTCTTCGGAAAGAAAAGAGTGGAACTCTTTTCGGCACGGTATCCTAAAACACAAAACTCGGGGACGGGAAAACAGGACGGAATATTGAAATTCGGTTGCTATACTGATCGGTTTATTCCTCTCTTTTTTTTTCGAGGATAACATGGTTATTGTGGTGGCCCCCCCCAGGGCAAAATGCCCCTTCGGGTCTCAGGTATCCTAGGGCGGCACGGGCACCACGCCGATAGTCTTCCCACTACGCCGCACCTCGAGCAAAAAATGGTGGCCTGTGGGGCCGGGCATGCTCTCCGCCAATGCCCGAGCCTCCCGCACCTCCAACACAAGTGAACCGCCAGTTCGGGGTCCCTGGCACTGGTCACCCGCAGCAGGGTTGGGCGCTCCTCCACTCGTCCTCGTAGCGTAGTTGGGGCGGTCACTTCCTCGGAGCCGGTCTGGGTTCCCACCGAACGGGTGGCGCGGGGGGAGGCTTGTGTTCCTACCGCTCGGGTCTCCGCCTTCGTGTTGCTTACAGTCCTGGGGCACGCTTCCTTCTCCAACGTCTCCACCCAATCTAACACCTCAATTTCGGAGTCGGACATTCTAAAAAAATATAAGAACAAACTCCCAACTTATACGGTCGGTCACAGCGGTGTAACACATAAATTCTTCCCCTCCGGGACGGATAAAACGGGACGGAACGGACTACGGGGCATTGTCAAATCAATACCGGTTACCCTACGGTCGATAGGGTTTCAGATCTTTGACGTGGACTCTCGGAATCTTGGTCCTCTCGGACGGATGTTTCAGGGTGAATACCACCGGTGACTCCACTTTGTGGATGACATATGGGCCGGAGTACTTCGGCGCCAACTTCGCGGCATACCCCATGGCAGCTTTGGACAGAGGGTGGTCTTTCCGGAGTACCAAATCACCCACATGCGGTTTCCATTCTCGGTGTCGGAGGTTGTAATGATGCGCCTGCTTTGAAAACGCTCGGCCTATATTCCTAGCGACTAGCTGAAACACATCCTGAAGATTGTCTAAACGGTTACGGTGTTCGGGAATTTCGGCGGTCAGGTCGGTAGGGGTATCGGGATTCGGAGGTTCTTGCTGACGGTGGACAGTATTCGGAAGGACAAGTTCACGGGCAAAATTCAAGTAGGCGGGAGAAAATCCGGTTGATTCTTGGACGGAGGAATTCATAGCCATCATGAAATGAGGTAAAAACCTATCCCAACTCCGGTGATTTTCTTCACAAAACTGCGCAATCATGGTTTTCAAAGTTCGGTTGGCACGTTCGACGGGATTGGCCTGCGGAGTATACGGCGGTGTGAAACGGTGGGTAATACCAAGTTCGGAGAGGAGATTTTTGAAATTTCGGCTGTCATACTGGGCTCCATTATCGGTAATCAAAATCCTCGGTGTACCAAAACGTGTAACAACTTCCTCAAATAAAGCCTGAGAAACAGTAGCGGCGGTGGCTTTACGAACGGCTTTAAAACATACCCATTTGGTAAAACGGTCCTGGAAAACCAGAAGATATTGGTTTCCTTTCGAGGAACGGGGAAGTGGGCCTACAATGTCGGTACTGACAATGTCCCAGGGTAAACGGTTAGGATATAGCTGCATTTTCCCCGCGGCTTGCTGTTGAGATACCTTGTACCGTTGGCAAGATTCACAGTGACGGACATACTTAGCTACATCTCGGAACATACCTGGCCAATAATAATGATCTAAAATTCTGTTTACGGTTTTGGTGACACCTAAATGTCCGGCGGTAGGTGAATCATGATTTTCATGCAAGATACGGTTTCGGTTCGGTTTGGCAACACAAAGTTTCCACGGATCGGTAACGGTTTCATCTTTTAATGTGTTAGAATGAAAATGACGGTACAAATTATTGTTACGGATGCAATAATCCGGTACGGTATCGGGTCGGTCGGTTACGGCATTAAATTTATTTCGGTACCAAGAGCATTCGGGTAATTCAAGGGCAAAAATCGGTACTTCGGAAGTTTCGGTAGTGTCGTTCTCGGTATGAGGTAAAGGATCACGGGAAAGAGCATCGGCAACACGGTTGAGAACTCCTTTTCGGTACTTGATCTCGAAGTCATACTGCTGCAGGAAAATACTCCATCTTGCTAGACGGCCGGTCGGACTTTTGATTGAATGCAGCCAGCGTAAAGACTGGTGGTCGGATAGTACGGTGAAATGATAGCCTTCCAGGTACGGTCTCATCTTCTCAATTCCCCAGACAATGGCTAAGCATTCTTTCTCGGTAACGGAATAATTTGTCTCGGCGGATGTTAAGGTGCGACTTGCATACGCAATCACTCGGTCATCTCCATCGATTTGCTGTGTGAGAGCTGCGCCAAGTCCGGTGTGGGAAGCATCGGTTTGTAAAACGAACGGTCGGTCGAAATCAGGACAAGACAGTATCGGTGCGTTGGTTAGACGGTTCTTCAGGGTTTCGAAAGCTTGTTCTTGTTCTTCACCCCAACTCCATTTTTGGTGTTTTCGGAGGAGTTTGGTTAGTGGGGATACGATGTTCGAAAAATTCGGGACAAAACGGCGGTACCAAGATGCTACCCCAAGAAATCTTCTGACGGCTTTGATGTTGTGCGGAGTCGGTATTTGCTGGATGGCGGCTACTTTGTCCGGATCGGTTTGTAGACCTCCATCACTCACGACGTGGCCCAAATACTGCAGAGACGGACGGCAAAATTGGCATTTTTCAGGATTGATTTTGAGACTAGCCCATCGGAGTCGGTGGAAAACTTCCCTTAAGTTGTCTAAGTGCTCGTGGAACGTTCTTCCCAGCACGATTATATCGTCCAGATAAGCGAACGCTCGGGGTTCCATTTCGGGCCCAATGACACGATCCAAAAGACGCTGGAACGTGGCTGGGGCGGAGTGTAAACCAAACGGCATAACTTTGAACTGGAACAGTCCTCGGCCGGCTATGGTAAATGCGGTGATGGGTCGGCTAGTTTTGGTCAGCGGTATCTGCCAATACCCTTGTTTTAGGTCGATGCTTGAAATGTAACGGGCTTGACGGAGGCGGTCTAAAATCCCATTAATAAACGGAAGAGGATAGGCGTCTTTAACGGTGACTTCATTGACTTTACGGAAGTCGATACAGAACGCATCTTGCCATCTTTCTTTCGGATCATGACAATCGGTGAACTCCATGGACTTTCGGACGGTTCTATGATGTTCTCGGTTAGCATACGGTCGACTTCTTCATTAACGAGGGCTTGCATTCGGGGATTTTGGGGACGGTATCGTTGTTTAATCGGTGTGGGATCTCGGAGTTTGATGTCATGTTCGATTAAGTCGGTGCAGCCATTCAGGGTTTCGAATGGTGGTAATTCGGTTTGAAGAAAATCTTGTAATTCGGTTTCTTCGACGGCGGTTAGCGGGGTAATAACGGAACAGGGAATACATTGTTGAGAAACGGGACTAACTCGAGGAACAAGGAAACTGCCAAGGAATAAATTGCCGGTTTTCATGTTGAAATGGAGTTCGGTTCTGGAGAGAAAATCCATTCCAAGGAGTACTTCATAACCAAGACCTGGGGCATGATGGACTAAATGGGGAATTTCGGTTTCTAGGATGGTGATCGGAGCAATATAAGCGCTATGGATATTAACGGGTTGATTGGTAAAGCTCTTGGCTTGTTTATGTTTCGGCGGTCGGACGGTATCGGCAACTATAGTAGCGATATGTTTGTTAATGAATGAAATGGCTGATCCGGTGTCAATCAAAGCAGTAAACGGGTGGCCATGAATGTGAACTGTAATAAACGGACGGGGGTCGGTACCTTGTATCGCAGCAGCGGAGGGAGAAGTGTCAGCGGAATTTCGGACGGGACGGTTAGGGGGATTACTTTGGGTCTGACACCCACATTCTCGGGACATTACTCCTCGTCTACCACAGCGCGAACAGAATAGCATGGGTTGGTTGCGACACTGAGATCTCCAATGCCCAGTTTGACCACACCTCCAGCAAACTGGAGCCTCGCCGGACTCTGTAGAATGACCGGGTGCAGGCGGCCTAGAAGCGGTATTAACAGGGGCGGAAGGCAGTAAATTTCGGGTGGTATTGGGGTTGGGCTGTTCGGATGAACTGCGAGAAGTCCAGTTCCGGCTAGGGGTTAATGATTGTCTCGGAATGGGTGGCGGAGAAACCAACTGCCCTCGGTTTTGAGTGGAAAGTGGTTCGGCAAAACTAACTGACCTATTGGTACGGAGCGGTGGTGGATTATTGGTATTCAAATCGGTACGGTAAGCGGTTTCGGTACGGTTTCTTGCAAAATCGGTGCGGTTTACGGAATCTGTACGGTTTCGGTCAAAATAGGTTCGGTTTCGGTAAGAATCGGTACGGTTGGTAGATTCGGTACGGTTCGGTTGATCACCTCCACTAAATGGAACAGTGAATCGGGACGGTTGAGCCTGACGGGCTTCTCGGTACACATCTTCATAATTCTTAACGGCTTGAGTCAACTCGGTTACGGAACGGCAATCGGTACGGCGGATACATAAGCGGTATTCAGGCAATAAGTTATGGTGTAACCAGTAGAGCTCCTGTTCAGGGGACATACGGCCATGTCGACGGATTAGCGTTTGCAGTTCGGTAATGTAACGGACTGCGGGTTCATTAACTCTTTGACCACGGCGGCTAATTTGTGCCTCAAGGTTAATGTGATAATCAAGGGGGAAATAAAAATTTTGAAAATCGGTGACGAAGTCCAGCCAAGTGCGCCAGCGGAGACGGTTATTTCGGTACCATTGAAGTGCCAAGCCGGTGAATAATTCTGGCAACACAAGAAGTAACTGTTCGCCCGGTATGTTGTAGCGAAGGCTTATTTCATCCAAGCGTTCCAGGAAAGAAATGGGATCGGTATTCCCCCCAAAGCTAACATTCCAATCTCGGGTTTTAATTTTGAATGGGACGGAGGAGGGCTGAATCTGGGGCGGACTCCCAACAGATAGAGCATACGGATTAGATGCTGGCATAGTCCAGACTGGCGGTAACGGTTGGGTTTGTGCAAATCCCTGAGCAGCGGTAGTATAAGAAACAGACGGCGGATAATATGAATGACTCATAATCGGCGGTTGGGTGACAAGGGCGGTGGCGGAAGACGTACTTATCGGGGTAAAAGTAATATTCGGTGGCAACTTTAACGGCTGAGGAGAACGGGTGCCTTCGCGGAGAAAACAGATGTAACGGCGACACAATTCATCGCGGGTGCCTTCGGTATTCAACTTAAATTTATTCAACTCGGCTATTAATTCGGCTTTGCGGAGCTTATAAACCCAGCTGACCCGGACGTCAGTAGCAAAAGTAGCGGTAACCGGTTCATCCTCAGGAATAAGTTCGGGATCAGACTCCATGGTGGGATCAAGATCAATAGGTGGAGACATTTTCAAAAATAAATGGTATCAACACAAGTCAAAATCAAAATCAAGTCACACGCGCGGAAAAAAAAATTTCTCTCTTTCCCAGGTTTCGATTATACAATAAACAATCAAATCAATTAATGAAATGGGGATACTAAAAGTTGATAGCAAAAAAAAATTTAAAAAAAAATTTCAAAGTTCAAAAATAAATTTGAAAAATGTTCTAAGTCGGTAAAAATATAAAAATCTGACCTTACTTCCAGCGGTGCGGTGGTTGTTTTTGGTGTCGGTATGGCCGGTGGCGGTGGTTGTTTCAGCGGAGGTGGTGTTGTACCCTTCAAGTCCCTGCTCTCGGGCGCCAAAAATATATGCGACGAACTTCCCCCTTAGCTCGTGCACGAACGGTATTCTGAATAAAGGAAAGCACAATTATTTCAAGTTCATTTAATTGTCGAACAATAATATAATTGTACAGTTCAATTATTACACCGGGGACGGTCGGTCGGTCACTCGGGCGCCACCAAGACTTAATCTGCACCCCCTAAGTCTTGGGAAAAGGGGCGGTGCGGTCTTCGCGGACGGGGTGGAAAGCCTCCGGGTATCCTCAAGTGGAGAACGGAATAACCAGGGATCGGTCAGGGTTCACCACAAAATGGCGGCGGTCACTTCCGGATAATCTAAAACAAAATATGGCCAACGGCCCGGACGGTAAATTTCCTAAAGGGAATAAAGCAATAAAGCACAAATCAATTAGCGGTGTCTAGGGGAACGAAAAGCGGAAAAACAAGGAGAACAGAATATACTCCCCCCCCCCTTTAATCAACGTAATTGAAAATTAAGCGCTTACCTTGGTTAAGTAACGGTGATTTAAACGGTGGTAACACTATCGATAGAAAATACGGTAAGCTTAAGGCGGTAATGAAACTTAGCCGAACGGGGTAAAAGTTACGGTAGTGCAAAAAGGTAAACTCAAAACGGTAGTTAAACGGAAAGGATAACGGATTGACTTACGGTCGCTCAAACGGTAAAACGGTAAAACAAAAGGGTTTCGGTGGATTCGGAATGATACGGTTTCGCAAATTAAAGAAATCAAAAGGCGTACTTACAACTCGAAAGTATGAGGCAGAAAAGATCCCTCCCAAAATGAGCATTTTCCTTTTAAAGGAAACCAATTTTGGTGGAAGTGGAACAGGGAATTTCCAAAGCCGGGCGGTGCTCGTACCGAGAGCGGTAGAAAATAATTCGGTTTTTAATTAATTGCGGCTCCTGTGGTTATCTTAAAAATCTGGGACAACTTGCAAACAATTAGAAAAATTACAGCGCCTCTGTGGACACCTCTCTCGACGGTTTCTGACAAGGTTTACTACTGCCCATTAACATGGCATTAATTAACAGCGCTTACCTAATTAAGCGTAATCAAACCTAAGTACTCATAAATCCAATCTGCAACTAGCTCCCTTGGACTTTTCTTCTCAAACGGCGCTATCGCTTTAACACTCTTATCGCAACATGCAGGCATACGGACGGGACTGCAAAACTTGTAAACAACTCGATTTGAACTCGTTTTATCCTTGATTTTACTTATTATGGGAATCTAAAACATCTTATAAATAATTAACCGCGCTGAAACCAAAGAATATTAATTGTCCCTCATCTTCGCCAGGACAACATCCTTCGGTGGTTACAAAAATAACGCGGTCTTCTTGCGTAACGAAGCCCAAACCAAACGTTACATACAGGGTGGTCTTTGTAAACTGCAAACTAAATGGAGAAATTCCGGGTGCTTCGTTACAAATTTTAAAAGTCATCTCTAGTACCCACCACTTACATAAATTTAATGAAATTTTGTCGCATCTAATAGTGAGTTCCACAGTACTGCTAAGTAGTAGAGATTTTCTGTTACATTTATTGCATTAGACACAATTTCATGCTTAGTAAAAAAATTAATAAACTAAGCTTGAAACTAAGGTAAGCTGTACTTAATATGTCTTTTTCTTTTCTTACTATTATGTAATGCTATACAATATCCAATAAGCTTCTTTATTTACTTTACCTGAATCGTTTATTATACTATTTATAGCTTGAATTCTGTGTCTTCTTCTTAACAAATCCAGCATGTCAAAATTTACGACAGTTGACCAAGTTGATGTCATCGACCTCGTCTGCCTAAAGAATTTTTCACACGGTTGGCTGCTATAAATCCATGGTAACACAAATTCAGGATTGCTTCTAAACTTTTCAATGAGGATCATATAACCATGTGCATTTAATTCTATGCAAGTATATGTATTGAGAGTGAGCCAATTTTTTGCCAAGGTGTAGTTGCTTTGTTCTTTAATCCAAGCTCTCCATAGACGTAAAAAGAGCGTTACATACCAAATTAAGTAAACTCTTTCCTCTATTGATAATGACTTATCCAAGTATGAATCCAAAATGTATCGAGTGAGAACAAGCAACTGACGGGTAGCTTTGCATACATCACTGGTTAGTAAGCTGATCACACGAGTGGACGACAATTTGTCGATGGCTTCAAAATTCATTTTATCCGAACCTAACAACGAAAAATAAAAGCTAAGCAAATTTTCACAAAGGACTGAAAGAAACTGGGTATTTACTTTTAGTAATTACACCCTGTATAAAAAAAGCAGTAATGTTACTTACTATCCAGATAACTAAGGCATAATAAATGTTTGTCTTTGGAAACAGTGTTAATCAAATCGGTTAGATGATCCTTCGACACTTCGTAATTTCCCATTTTCAACACAATTTTTTCATTCAATAATCTGTTCTTCATTTTAGTGGCAATATGTACTGTGTCTTGCATTGGCACTAGATTATTTATGTCAAAATTTGCCTGAAAGGGTAAATAAATTTACTTTTATGAACATTAGAAAAAACCGGAAATATATTTGTATTTAAATAATCCAAAAAAAAACAATTTTTATAATCTACTTAGTTCTTTCCTCGGTTCTTTCTTTGTTTAATTCCAGAGAAATAAAAAAATTACCTGAAAGTATGGTGAATACGGTGTCTCTTGTTTGGAGAAAGCAGGAAGTCCGGCTATTATTTTCATGGCTTTTAAGCAACGAGAATCCCCATCAGAAGAAATTCCATCGACTACAATATTGTAATTTGTGGTTTCTTGTTGTATATATTTCCATCTTAATAATACATCTTCATGTGTAAATGTGTTATTACTCCCAAACAAAGTCAAGCAAAATGCGGCAGCCCCATCTTGTAAAGGCTGAGCCATAAAAACTTAGGCATTTTTTGCAAGATCGCTATTTTCTATAATATTTTTAATATTAGAGACTGAATTTATTAAGTTTTGATTCGTCTTCGGAAAACCAGTGTGTTCCAAATTAGTAAGAACATAGCCTACTAACTGGTTGGTTGATTGATCATAACGCGGTCGCCTCACAATAGCCGTTTGATCTTCTGAAATAAAAATCCGAAGAGGGTAATTTCTTTTTTCTAAGAATTCTTTTAACTGACCAAATGCTAATTCTCCTTCTCCACATTTTTCATAATTTTTTGACAAGCTTCTACTTAAAGTTGAAACAGAAGGAAGTCCGTTTGGAATATTAGCTACCAGAGTCTCATATGCAAGACGCCCTGAAGTTAAAAACAAATAAAGGCACAGATTTTTTAGTTCATCTGGGTACCGATTAGCAGAAGAGCTTTCTGAAGAATTTTTATTTACGGCTCTTATAAGCATTTCAAAAAACGATTCTGGGCCAAGTTTTTGACACTCATTATTTAACATTTCTGGTTGTCTATTTTCACAAAAAATGTTTGCTGATGTTGAAAAAGCTTTATTTAGCGTTGCGTTTTTAAGTATTTGACTTTTTATTTCTTCACAAATTTTATAAAAGTCGGTGATTTTAGTCTGACTAGAATCAAAATTTAATTTTTGGTAGGAAATTTTTTTTCCGTTCTTGAACGACTTTTAGGCGTGTTTTCAGCCGGCGAAATATTCAAGTTACACACCGTTTTACCCTCGGTTTCACCTCTGCTGTCATCTATTGAAATTACAGAATTACAAATATCCTGATTTATGTCCTGTTCCAAGTTCTGTTCAGAAAAGTCTATTTCCTGCGAGATTTCCTGCATAGTTTCTGGAGATTGTTCTTCTGATAAGTCTATTTCTCTGTTTGTTAATGGGCGTGAATTTGGGCATTCTGGTGGCAAGGATGAATTAGACGGTAAAAAATATTTTCTTATATTCGAGTTTATTTTTTTTTAACTGTAGATTTTTCGGAGGGTAATTTAAAATGAGTTTTAAAGTGCCTATTGACGTTTGAAAGGACCCACTTTTTTTATTTCTCTTCTTATCTATTTCGCAGTATGCCTTTGACCTAAAATCACATCGACTACATTGAATAAACGCCACGTCATCCTTGACTTCAACAATGATATCGTTAGTTGCTTGTTCCTGAAGACAAGAACTTTCTTCTGCTCCTATGCTTTTCAAGAATTTTTCTTGATAGGAGCGAACAACCAATTTTATGTGCTCTCGGATCCTTTCATTATTTTCCGAGTTATTTTCTTCAGAAGATAAAGCGCAGTCATTATCAGAAGCCGTACTAGAAAGGGATGTACCTCGGAATGTAGCTTGAGATGTACCTGGTGTCTCAGATATTCTTTTTTTTTTTGTTTGGCGATTATTTATTCTATCGTTAGTATTCAGTCTTTTTCGCTTATTTTCTTCAAATTCTTTACATTTTGTTCTCAAAAATTGTAGTAGTTTTTTGTCTCCATCCACGATGCAAAACACAGGAAGATTTCTAATAAAATTCCAAAAAAACTTATTTTTTCCTCTTCTGTAAGTAACAAAGGTAAAGTTTTTCTTGCAAAATCTTCAAGTTTTACGATGTCTTCGTCGTCTAATAAACTGAGAGCTTTATGATTAGAATATCCGGTGTATGCAAGGAGATCAATAAGGTATGCTGGAAAATTGGTATCTATATCAAATTCTTTTAGGATATCCAAAATTTTATTCTTGCTTTCATTTACTCGCTGCATTTTTTACCAACCTAAAAAATTATATGTTTGTCACATTGAAAAGATTAAATATTAACAGAGAAAACCAATATACCAGGTAAAAATAAAAACAGGGAGCATGCCGCCATTTTTCTTGTTTAAGTAATCGTTTTGAAATTTTGGGTCACTTCAGACTGCACTCATAATAAGTATTTTGTTTATGCTGCAGAAAGTTAACACTTCCGTTACGCATTGCGCTGAAAATCACGCGGGAAATTTTTGGAACGCTATGATTGGTTGAAACTTGAAACTCAAGGTTATCTGTGAGGCTCCGATTTCCAAAAATTAACGGATTTCGCGGGATTTCGCAAGATTGCCGGTCGATTTCACAAGATTTCCACGCGATTTTGCGATTTCCATAGCGATTTCGGGGGATTGCGACAGAATTTGTGACAGTATTGCGCACAGTGGTTAACCCCTCGAAAAATGTACTTTATGATGACCATCAGTATGCAAAGACTTTACTTACTGATCTTGATATAGGTTTGGTATCACAGGTGCCGTTAGACTATATGCACTTGATATGCCAGGGGGTCAATTTTTGAGATGCGATCTTTTTTTGCGAATACGCAAAGTTACGTGTACGTAGTTACGAATGTCAAGAAAACAATCAATTTTTGAGTGACAGTTTCTATTATTCGCAACTTTACTTACGATCATCGTAAAGATGCGATTGATAGATTTGACAACACCTGAATTAAAATTGACATTTCGCAAAATTAAATCTAATTTCGTATTTATTCTCATTCCATCTGTTCTATGGTTAAAGAGGTGTATATAATTGTACCTCGTTATTATAATGGACAGTTTAAAAAAGAGAGGTGCAAATGATTCCGAAAAGCAAAAAACTATGCTGGTGGAATATGTGAAAAATAAAGGGTACCGCTCACTAGAGCGAAGCGGCGCGTCGACTGGAGTATATAGGTATAATGAAGAAATCGATGCTTTAATAAAAAACGAAATTGCTTCTTTAACAAACCATTACATCTCTATTGTTGCCTTTGTTGTTTTGTGGAGATTATTGTAACGGCTTTCTGGAGTGTTTGGTTCCACATTATTAAAAGGTGTTAACAACCAAGAGCGAAGGGGATATCCCGAATCTCCTGTAAAGAATAAGTATTTCCCCAAAGTGTAAGGAACTACATTTATTAATAAATGTGTCACACACCCAATACTAATCGATGTAATTGCTGCATAAGACCATTGACATTTGATTGATTCCATAAATAGGAAAACTCAATTCCTCAAAACCTTCCCCTTTGAGGAATTGAGTCGTCTATTTCCTATATGGTTCATCACCCCATTTAGAGAATGGAACAACAACGAGTTTTTTCTGATATAGGTATATCTATATGCATCGTTAGTACCTACTTCCCGGATACCTTGCTTTCACATTTAGAATGTTGAGGCTGCTGTCACATATCTAACAACATTTTTGTAACGTTATCCACTCATCTTCCATTCTTTAAACTTACCGACTGCACATTAATAGAGTGGTAACCATTTCGGTTTATATAAAAATATTCAGGATGCTCCGGATCCTCAATTTTCGGAGGAAAAATGGGCACATGCGTGCAGTCTATGCACCCTATAGTTCCCGGAAAACCAAATTACGTAAAAAATCTAAAATCTTGAATGGCCAAAACGTTTATCAATTCTTCTATTTTCGATAAAATTTTTAAAATTGACGATCAACTGGTCACTATACTTTATATTCAAAGCAAAACGCATTCGAATATCAAATTACGCCAGCTATCTACCGCTCGCAAAAAAGCGAAGGATATTTTAAGAGCGCGCAAAGAAACGTGCTGTCAAAATTTGAAACAAACTACTATTCGTATTGTTCCGTATACGTTTCTCATTTGCGAGCGCTCAAAAATTGATCCCCTGGGCGTTATGAAACGGCTAATTCGAATATGGGTGGAAAAGGGCCCCAAGAAGTGTAAACTTCGTGCAGTTTCCATTGCAGATATATCAGTTAAGGCGCGTCCAGACATGGCGAACGAGCGCGAACAAGCGTTGGCGAACGCAAACAAGCATCGACGAGCGGAAAGCAGAGAGATTTTCTTTAAAACGAGCGCGAACGAACAATTCGCGGCCATTTTACCATTCGTTTGTGTTCCACAGTTTTCTGTTTTCGAGCATGGATTCGACTCGAAAGAAAAAAATAATAGTAGCAAGTGCTGCGTTTTTGTTTCTGAAATTAAACGAGAAAAAACGCAGAAGGCGCCGTCGATGGTGGATGACATCAATATTTAGAGACAGAGAAAACCGTAATGCTTCAGAATTATTGCTTACCCTTACACAAGAAGATTCCGGGCATTTTACAAACTTTTCCAGAATGACTGCCACTGATTTTGAAGAATTGTTGCAATTAATAGGACCAAAAATAGAAAAAAAAGGACACTTATTACAGAGAAGCTATTCCAGCAAAAGAAAGACTAAGTGTGACTTTAAGATTTCTTGCAACAGGGGATTCCTACGCCAGCCTTAGTTATCTATTTAAATTTTCAAAACAAGTTATTGCAACGATTATTCCTGAAGTTTGTGCTGCGATAATAGACGCTCTACGACATGAAATTAAGGTAGGTAAGATACTTTTTTATATTTATTTCACCAATTGCTATATGCATAGGTTAGGGATAATGTTACAAAAAATATTACATTAAAACTACCGATGCCTATTGAAAATTTGTGAAAAACGTAAGTAACGAGGGTGCTGCAGATTCTTCTGTATGTCTGTCATTAGACTCGTGAACTGTAGATCCCATGCTCATTGCTGAAACTTGTTCTGCATGTTGCAACGGAGCTGTCTGCATAGGAGTTGGAGTTATCTGATGGTTACTCGCCGGTAGGCTTTGATTAGTTGAAAACTGTTGCTGAGAATTTTGATTAGGATTCCCAAGGCTTAGTGAAGGTGAAGGGAATGGTGTCACCGTTGTTGAAGAATGCGCAGAAGCCGAGCTGGAATACTGAGGCTGGAACTGTGATTGCATATGTAATAATGGCTGCCTAAATCTTCCCATTTCAGCGTCAAACAGATTTTGATTTATATAATGCTTGGCTACAATTCTCGAGTGACTATCTAATGTTCTCAACGTTTTCGCAACGTATTCTCCAAATACATCATTATCATCACGAGTAACTGGACGTTCTGATGCAGTCGATTTCAAAATACTATAAACTTCATCTATTCTAGGATCTTCTTTAGGCCTCTTGGCACACGATGATTTTGAAAACAAAGGTTGTTTTAGAGTGCTTTTTGTAGTCGTGGTAGATAAGGGCATCTCACTTTTTTCTTCGTCACATTTGCTTCCAGTTTCCTTTGAGGTTGCTTCCTTTAAGGTTTTATCATTCCTTTCTTCATCTTCACCATCGCCCAGGATTTCATCGTCACCTTCACCGAGGAGCTGCTGGGAATCCTAAAAACCAAGGAAAAACATACAAAAGGTTAAGTTACAAAAATTAATGGTTTTATTAGTTTTGTTCGTGGTCTTGGTGATTAATTTTGGTTAGTTTGTTTATCGCCGCTCTTAAAATTATTTTTGAGTATTACAGAAAATAAATATCTATCAGGTAATTCTCTTTGTTCCAGACACCAACTTCCAGGGAAGAATGGCTCAAAATTTCGGAAGATTACTACAATTTATGGAATTTCCCCCATTGTTTAGGCGCGATAGACGGGAAGCACATAGCTTTACAAGCACCTATCAACAGCGGTTCCGACTACTTTAACTATAAATCGCACTTCAGTATTGTGTTAATGGCAGTTGTTGATGCAAATTACAAATTTATTTATGCAGACGTCGGTTGTCAAGGACGTATTTCCGATGGTGGTGTGTTTAAAAATACTAGTTTCTATCTTGACATGGAATCAAATTCTTTAAACTTGCCAGAAGAAGCGCCCCTCCCAACAACCAATTCTGTCGCACCTTACGTGTTTGTAGCAGATGACGCGTTTCCGCTTATGAAAAATATTATGAAACCCTATACAGGATCCTGGGAAAAAGGTACAAAAGAAAGAGCTTTCAATTATCGACTGAGTAGAGCGCGACGAATTGTTGAAAATGCATTCGGCATATTATCGTCTGTATTCAGAGTGTTCAGGAAACCAATGCTGTTAAATCCTGATAAAGCAACTCTTGTTGTGCTTGCATGTTTATATCTACACAACTTTTTAAGAAATCGCAAAAACTATAATAATTTTACCGAGAAGTCAGGTGTAGAAAAAAAAAGTACGCAAGGGAACGATTACCAAGAAAGATCGGCGTTTAGCTCTTTTCGATGTATTCCTCGAAAAACAGCCGAAAATGTAAAAAAAATCAGGGATACGTTTGCGGAATTTTGCAAAACAGAACGCGTTTCATGGCAAGACGATTATGAGTAGGTTATCTATATATTGTTATTAACTATTATTGTTCGTTACGGTAAAATATGTATCTGAATAAAAATTCTTACTTCTGAAGTATTTTGTGTTTTCCGTGGAGTATAACGATCTGACATAAATGCCAAAGCATCATAAGCAAACCAGGTGGGAGTATATTTGTCAGCTGTCGCCATGCCTGAATGAGTAACATCTTTGACTTTTTGTCTCTCCCTTCTATACGACGCCTAAAAAAAATAATAAATATTACATTACCTACAGACCATATACCTAAAAATAGGTACCCACCTATGCAAAAATCTGGAACTTTTAAGTTCAATTAAAATTTTAATAACAAAGAAAATTAAGGAACAATGTTTAATAAATCATTAACTTACCTGTAAACTCTTCCATTTCTTTTTTACTTCTTCTGGTGTACTATTGTAAGTACGAGCTAATTCGGACCACGCATCATTCTTTTTCCTTGTAATTTTGTAAAAGGGATTTTGGCTATCCCATAGCATTGCCAACTTTTCCACATCTTTTATAAAAGAAATAACTATGTCGTTGGACCATTCCATGAGGCTTAACACGCAAAATCAATCAACACTGCTAGTTTAACTCAACCTGTTGACTCAACTGCCACTTTTCGTTTGCAAATGCAACAGCGACCGTTCGTTCCCCGTCCAGACCTGACGATCGCGATCAAACACGAACGAGCATTTTCCTTTGATGTACCGACCGACGGCGGATCGCGTTCGCCGACGTTTGTCGTTGCTTCTTCATGTTCGTTTGCGCTTGCCGCTACGTCCACACTTGACGAAATTCTCGTGCTCGCGAGTGCTTGTTCGCGCTCGTTCGCCATGTCTGGACGCGCCTTTAGATTGTCCATAATAAGTCAACAGCATTATCCCAAAGAATTTAGCAGAAGACCTAGGCCTTTAAAAATGTTTAAATTTTGGAAAGCTACCGAATTCCGATCATTTGTTTTATACCTTGGGCCAGTTTGTCTTCATGGTATACTACCAAAAAAATTATACACACATTTTCTATTACTTCATTGTGCTGTGTATTTACTTAATAGTGAATATTGTAAATCTGAAATATGGAGAAACTCTGCTAACGATTTATTGCATTGTTTCGTTGAAAATATTTCCCAAAATTACTGCAAAGAACTTCTAGTTTATAATTTTCATAACCTTCTTCACTTAGCTGCTGATGCAGGACGTTTTGGTTGTCTTGATAACTTTTCATCCTTTCCATTTGAAAATTTTCTTGGGAAATTAAAAAGAATGGTACGTGGTCCTAACAATCCTTTGCAGCAAGTTTCTAAACGGTTAAGAGAGTTAAGTGGTGATGACATTCCAAAAAGTAATCCAGAAAGTGCAGTTAAAAGAAAAAGAGGTAAAATCACTTCAATAAGATTAACGAACCATTGCGTTGTGGGTACAACACGAGCCGACTCTTGCTTCTTAACAAAAAATGATGATGTTGTTATCGTAAGATCAATTGAAAATGATGAAAAATGTTTGCTTTTGCCGAACTTTTGTGAAAAGACGAGTAATTCATATGTATCTTTACCATATTGTAATATGCAACTTTTCCATTGAAAAATTTATATTTTTTTAATTTTAAAATAAAAATTTATTTTTCTTTGGATACTTTATTTTACTTAATTCCTGTCCAATAACGTAAACAACAATATATTGTTTAAATAATTGTTGGCTAATGAGGAGGAGAAGTGGTAGGCCCACTGGAGAAATAATGTGTTGGTCCTACTATGATCAATAGGGTGTTTTCACATTTTTTAAAAACTGGACAAAACGAAAGCCCATTGGCCGTATAAACGAGCTACACATTTTAAAAAAAATATCCGAGCCTTCATTTTCGAGTAATTTCAAAATAAAATTCGAAATCAGAAATTTGCCGCGTAAACGGACAGCCGCGCGTTTGTACGGTCACCTGTTCTCAACTACGTCACAGTGCATGTAAACACTGGAACTGTCATTATAAACAGCACGCGTTCTACGGTTTTGATTTGTTTTCTGCAGTGAATTTATGTTTATATAGATTGTTTTTATTACTATCAATGACTACCTAACATTGTGCATGTTTAAAAATGTATGGCCTATAAAAATTGTTATTAAAGAGCTACTCAGCATAATTTTATAGATAACAAATTACCTGCCGCAGCCGCACAATCTTTGCAGATTACATTTACTATTTTTTCTTCCTCCTCATCGACAATTAAAGATACGGCATAATTCTTCGAACGGACTCTGTGTTCTGGGCATATTTTGCACTGTAAAGTGCACAAAGGGCCCTCCCTCTTCAATTCCACATATCCAATGGCGTTATCACCATATGCCTCACGAGTTGCTCTGTTTTTGAAACATTACTTTAGATTTAGAGTTAAGAAACGTGACATTCTTAAACTATTTGGATTTAGATTGCACTCTACTGAACCCTAACTAAATTTATTTTTGTTTAAGAACTTAACCTCTAATTAACGTGACGTGAAAAAATTAATAAAATTAACTACTTAACACCATCCAACTGTTTGTACATTACTTAAACCATCTTAAAGAAACGCATTTCGCGATAATTTATCACAATATTTACTTACGTTGTTGCCTTCACATTTCTGAATTCAGCTGCATTAAAACGATCATCTTCTTTTATAAATTCCATCACCATAAAAATGTCTACGGATGGCAAATTGTTTGAGGACGCTTTCACAAAGTTCTCTGAAGACATTTCAAGTTTATAATCCACGAAACAATCCCGCAATATAATTTAAACATACGACACAACACTATCTACCAAGGTGAAAAGGTAAACAATCCGCCATTTATATACGGTGAGACGTCACATCGCATTGACCAATGAAATTGCGTTTAGATTTCCCTTTGAAATTGTTGGTTTTAATGAGTTTTCTAAGTCTTATTGCATTATAAATACTTAAATAAGTATATCGTTTTTTAATGAGCCCATACCGTTACGCTCACCTTTATGTATAAAATACAGTACAAATTAGGTTAGTACGAATATATTGAAAACACCCTATTGGTTGGGCCATTGTTGGAAGGTTGTAAGTTGGCCAACAGTTGGAGTGCCAAGTCTTACCGTTGACCAACTGTGGGAAGAATAGTTGGGCCAACAACTAACCAACCGTTTTTGCTGTTAGGGTAGTCGTGTATTGATCCGAGATCGAAGATTAATTCTCGTTTTCTATAGACAATTCAACTCATGTATAAAAAATCACATAAGCCGCAGTGTAATTGTCACTTTGACAGCGGCAAAAGTTACCTGCAACTTTTCCAGCGACAAATGCACTAGTGGTTTTTTCACTTATTCATTTTCGAACCAATAATCGCATTATCCTTACCCATATGACTAGTTTGACATCTGTCAATAATTGATTAGTTTGGTGAATTTCTTGTTCGTTAAATTGTCCTGCCGAATTACACTCGAGGTTTGTATTTAAACCGAGTAAATTTGGGTTGTGGCAATTCAAATCTGTTTCCTTTTAGCAATTGGACTCGAAAAACTGTCAACCTAAAAATGCTCCACCTGCGGTGTCGCATTTTTATTATTTGACAGTTTTTCTCGTCTAATTGCTAGGCAACAGATTTTCATTACCTAAACAACCCAAATTTACTCGGTAAAATACAAACCTCTTGTGCAATTATAAGTGAAAACGTCACTTGTCAATCCGAGATTACTTCGATCTGGGATCAATACACGAATATTAGCACGGGCATTAGTGGTGTTCAATGCTTGAATCGATAGGCAACGATTTATATCTCTTTGATAACTTTATTGCACCACAAGGTCGATACGATTACTATCGATACCGAAAAAATGTATCGTCGAAATTCACTTCTTTATGCTGTTCACAGTTTCAGCAAAACCGATCGCGATAGGTACGTAGCGTAATCGAAACCTATATGTCGTCGATCCGGAAGAAAAGTGACTTAAGTCAAAAATAGCCGATTTATACGGGAACGCTTTTAATTTTTGTTTAAAATAAAACTTGAAGTAGAGAAATAACTAATTTAAATATGGATTAGCCGCTTTCGATATACTTTTATTTAACCTTTGCAAGTGTAATTGTAAAAGGTACTTTGATTAATTGTCGATCAAACTTTTTTTTCAAATAGTTATGACACTTTTCTTGCAAAATCTATAATGGAAATTCTAAATAATACACCAAGATTTATTGCCTTATTTTATTAGAAAAATGAAAATAATAGTCTAACAAAGCAAGTAACACTATATTCGAACGTAGATAATAAAAATAAACATTTTTTGGTATAAAAAAGCATTATAGTGCATTATAATAATCAAAATAACATTTAGAAATACTGTTTTTCTTGAATAGAGATAGTAAAACTTTTTTCTTTTTGTCTGTTATGCCCACCTTTTGTTGATATGCGTTCTTTAATGATATTTCTTTATGTTCTCCTCCTTTTCGTTTTCTTTTAACGAGATCAATGACCTTAAATTCAGATTCTTTATAGGAATCCTTGTAATACATTTTTCCGGGATGATCCTTTATAAGTTTAATAATTTTTACATCGGAAATTTTGAAAATATCTCCCTCACTATTTTTAGAAAAATTTATAAAGTTAAGGTCATTTGTCAGTTCTTTAAGATCAAAAAAATCTTCATAGGACAGTTCATGTACTCGGTAAGGCTTTCCAGATTTCTTTGCTGTTCGAATTAAGGAGACATACTGCTCCGGAATTAATATTGGTCCAGACTTAAGCGATCTCGTAATGTGGCGTTCAATTACTGAATGGGCACTATCTCCTTCATTTTGACTGTGTCCAGTTATTAGATATTTATGTGTAATACTGTTAATATTTTTATATTGAGATACTGCATACGAATACATAGAAAACATGAAACGATTCTTTTGCTGCCCAGCACAGTTATCAGAGTAAAAAACAATATCTATAATTTTGTTTTCAGCAACGGCTTTTTGGTTTTGGTCTTGTAGGTATCGCAATATACATGATCCAATTTCATTTACACCTCTATTTGCTTGGCCTTCATGCCAGACGTAGCATTGGACGTCCGTGGTATTTAAATTGAACACAGTCAAATTAAACACGTTCAGTTTAGAAGAATAGTAGTATGTGGATACGTCTCCTCTGGGACAAGGTAAAATCGCTTGTAGGTCATACACGGCTACAATACTTTCAGACTTTTTGTCGTTTTCTTTCTCTAATCTGGACAGCTTCTTTTCTTCGTGGTGTGCGTCATACTTGATCTGAAGCTCCAGTTTCTCTTGATCATTAGAATTTTTGTAGGAATTACAAAGCTCGCACTGATCTTTTTTTGGTGAAAAGAATGAAATGTTAAATTCTTGATTAAATATCCTGGAGAACATCACATAGTTGGCAGTAGGAAGTTTTTGTTCTCTGCATTGATCAGTGTAATCCCTATGTATCTGGGCAATAGATTTCCCACCATCAATGTATTCTTTTGTAGTTTGTGAGCGACAATAGTGGCTTTCTATACGAGGAATCATTTTTATGAAGTTTCTTACTCCCTCTTTAATTCCTTCGTCCACATGTGGATGCTTGTTATGCTTTCCTCTCA